TTTTTTACTAATCCTTTTATTTAGTACTAATTAAACTCTATTAAACTACTAATTCAGATAGCTTAGTATAATATATTTAGTATCTTTTTCTTCTGCCAAAATTTAGCAACCTAGTTAGTTATATGCTCTTTTATACATTTTGTTATTTAGTTTCTAAAAGATTTTTTAAAGAATGTTTATAAACTTTATTAGTTTAATAGTATTGTTAAAAATTTGTGTTATTTCTTTACTTAGAAATTTTCAAATAAGCTTCTGTCTTTTTAGTTTTTTAGTCTTTTGTATTTAGTGATCATATTGTAAGTTTGTACTAAAGTTTTATAAATACTGATTATTAACATTCTTTTTTATATATATAATATTATATTTTGTATAGATTTTCTAAGCTTCTAATGTTAAGTAAATCTAATTTGATATATTTAAGTTTACAAATATATAAATTTAACTAATTAGTAAGAAACAGATACTATAATATATAAATTTTAGTATAAATAGAATTTGAATATTAAATTTGTTACTTAAAAATTAACAATTTACTAAATACTTTAAATTATTATATATTATAATTCTATTTCTTTAATGTTTATATAATAATAGTATTACTAAAATTATTTTTAATTCTATGTTTAAAACTAATAAAATTAGGTTGAATTATTTATTATATATTCTAATTGTAATATAGTGACTCATTTGTATATTTATTTTTAGTTATATATATAATACTTAAAAAATATTTTTTAAATTTTAATAATTATATAAATAAATATATAAGTCAATATTTTTAAAAAATTTTTTTCTAATTTATTAAATAAAAGAATTTAATCTGTGTTTATATTTTTAAATAAAAATTTTGATAAAATATTTGTAACTAAAATAGTTTAAGTTTATTCTGTTATTTAACTTTGTTTTTAATATATAAAAAATAATAAAATATAATCTAAAGAAAAAAAAGTCAAACCTTTAATTTTTTGCATAAAAAGCAGTTAAACAAATTAGCAACTTAGTTTTATTAATTTAAATTAGATTTCTAATTTTGAAAAACAAAAACATATATTATATTCTAATAAAAATTATAAAAAATATTAAGTTTATTTAAAAAAAATTTAATGTTACATCTTCTTATTCTTATTAACAAAAATACATACTCTATATCAAAAAAATATATTATTAAAATGTTTTAAAGACTAACACACTTGATACTACATCAAATACTATAATAAATTTATATAACTAAATTAAGCTGCTGAGTAGTACAATTATTTACAGTTTATCAAATGCATCTTCAATTTTCTCAATTTTAACAGGTCTAATATCAAATGAACTCATTAACATTATCATAAGTTTGTTATTTAAAAAGTAACTATAATACTTACTATAAAGTTCTTGCTTTATCTTAATCAACAAATTTATTATAAAATCTGGATTTTCTACTGTATTTTAAGATCTACAGCTCAAACCTCTAAATATAACTTATTATCAAACTCTGTCTTACTCCTACTATATCCTCTTTTATTTAACTTTATTAGTTCAAAAATAAATTCTTAGTATATCCAATAGATTAAATATCAAACTAATTCTCTATATATAATTACTAATACTCAAATCTAGGTAAGTTTTGACCACTCTGGTCAGTTTAAATTGCAGATAAATTAGTCTAAGCTTTTATTCTTTCTATAATATTTTAAAAGCAGAATTATATTCTATGTAAAATCTTAATTAAATATTTAATAAAGATAGAAGCATGACCTTACCATTAATATTAAAAAAAATAAAATGTTTTAAAGATCTATAAATTCTGTTCTTAAAACTAATATATCTAATTATAAAATTATTTATGAATATACTAATTATATATGTTATAAAAATCAGTTTTTTAAAAAAACCTATTTCATCTTTATTAGAGTAAATTAAAATTTTTTATAAAGAAGAACAAATTTAATTTATGTATTTATGTTTCTTATAATTTTATCTATTTAAAAAAACATTAAAAAATTTTGTCTTTTAAGTAAAGGTGATTAAACCAATTTTGTCTTTAAATTTAATTTTGGGTTTTGTCTTTTCAAACTAATTTTGTTTATATGTATAATATTTGTACAATAAAAATAATTAGTTAAAAACTTTACTAATTTTTAGAATCATAATAGCTATTAAGTTTCATTAGTATATATTTATAAATATAATTATAATAAACTATAATTAAATTGTTTAACTTAAATTTTAACAAAAAAACTAGATCTAAATATGAAAAATACATATTTAATGTTTTAAAACAACTGTATTTTCCTTTAAATAAAACAAATATAAACATAAATTGCAATTAGTTTTTTAAAAAAATAGATATGAATTGTTAATATCTTACTAATATAGATTTTTAGATTTGTTCCTGTTCTGCTTTTTTATATTTTATATGTAAGCAATTGATAAGAGAATGTGTTACAAAGAATCCTAAATTTTTCTCTTAATTTATTCTTACCACACGATGTTATGATTACCTACTTATTTCTTTTGATATTAAAAGTTCTTCAAAAATTCATTTGGATAATTATCCTTAGAATAATTACTTTAATTAAAATATTACAGCTTTAGAATTTAGTATAGAGGTGGAAATAATAATAGACAAAAAAGGCTTTTTATATTCCAGATCGTTGGACCATAATTTAGAACAGGAAAGATGAATTGACGGCTAATATTGAAATGTATAAAAAGTTAGTAAAGCTTGTGAATAATAACCCTTAAACAACCTCTTATTTCAGAAACTGCTACATGCACTAAAGTTCTTAATGCAAAAACTTGACAGTGAACTTGGCAATTTTTAATACATGGAAGATTAGTATTTTGGTTGCAATAATTTATATACATATATCTATAAAATATGATGACAGGTTTCACTCTTTTTGTATTAATTTACTATATAAAGTTGTGATCTTTGAAATTATTGTATCAGTATAACTAATGCTGAATATTAATTTCAAAATTGCACAGTTATTAGCATTAGTTATACTTGCTTAACTATCTTTAACTAATAAGTATAAACAGAAACGTTTTTTGGATTTTTTTTCTCTTAAGATCGTTATACGAAAAACAAACTGTTTATACAAAACTTTATATGCTCATCACGTCCTGAAAGAAAGGAAAAATAATTCGTATAAGCAAAGGCTCCAGTGTAAATATTAAATAGAAAATTAGTTATTCAGTAAAAGTTTAATATTGCGAAAAACCTTAGTTTTTTTGCATTTTAATATAAGTAATTTTTTTGAACTATGAATATTAGCCTTTTATTATTTGATTCTGTATATACTGACTAGTTTTTATTTTTTAGACCGATAATTTTCAATTCTGATTACATAGTGTTATGTAGACAGTTCAGAAGTCACGGGACCGAGGATCGTTTCTGCCCACCTGTCAAATAATTAAATTTTTTTTTTTTAAAAATTTTAACATCAATGGGTGGAATAATTAATAAAAATCGAATAATTATACAAAATTGGGTATTGGAATTGATGACATATTATTGTATTACGTTCCGAGATCGAAGATCGACAACCGGAAAACTCTTCCGGTAGGTGGCGTTTAACACAAAAAATTATAGATTATAATGTAAATAATACTTTAACGAATAAATAGATTGTTTAATTATAAAAATATTTATTTACAATAAGATTTAAGGCATTTAAGATATTTATTTTAAATTTTTATGCTTAAAATTTAAATTAATTTTACTTTGATCTATTTTTTCCGTTTTTTTAATATTTGCTTTGATTTATTTTTTCATTTCTTCCTCCTGTTTGTAATTGCATATGATTATATGAGAGATGATTATATAAATGGATGACTATTAACTCTTTCTGATGATCACTTGTATCATGTTTCTTTTAAAAACACCCTTTTCTCAATATTTTGTTAAGTAAATCTATTCTGGCCGTCTGTATATACACATGAACATATTCTACGTATTGTATCAGTTATTCTTTAATTAGATGCATCAAAATAGGTTAGATAATGGAAGAATTGGCTAAATGCTATGTTCCTCACTTCCATATTTGTGTCTGTTATACTTAGTGGTACATGGCGTAGAAACTATTTCGGTATTGATCTTTAATATAAAATTTCCTAAATAACTCAGACATTTTAAAATCATAGTTTCTACGCCATTTATACTTAGTGGTCATTATTAATAAATGATAATGAATAAGGTTAATGACAATGAGGTGTTCTACTTTATCTGTTATAATATGTACGTACTTGCATAGGTGAGTAATTATAGATAAACAAAATGAGTAAACGCCAATCTGCGCATCGTGCCAATCTTTACTTCGTGTCCTCGTCTTTGGTTGAAGGATATTATTTTATATTTCCCCTATTATAATTATAAAGACGTGGGTTTATGTTTAATCATCACTTCACACAAGGGAACTGAAACTATACGCGATGGTAACATTTTATTATATAGATCAGAGGTCCAAAAAAATAATCTGGTAATTAAAACTAAAATTCGGTGACCAAAGCTTGGATTTTGTGACCGAATTTTAGTTTAATTTTACAAATACGCCGTAATGTACAATCGATAGTTATTAAATCTACATGCTAAATTCCAAAAGTAATAAAATTTTATAATTTGATTAGACTATGAAAAGAAGAAGCAAAGGTGACACTGCATTCTACACTTCTGAGACGAAAGTACATCGTGTAACTTATGCATCATGGATTCTAGAATAATTAAAATAATGAATGCATTGATAAAAAAGATCGATAATTCATTGATAAAATATTACAATAGTATAACCAAGAACCATTTATAAGAACTAAAGAAAACTTTCTCTAATGAACTTTCTCTAATCATAAAATTTTATAATTATTTTCTGAATAATCATTTCTCAGAATTCAAATTATCGTTTTTTAAAAATTTTGAATAGTCATTCCTCAGAATTCTATATTCATAGTTACAGTCCGAAATTATTATATTTGATATTTATCTATAATTTAATCTGAAGTATAAAATTACAATGACATTACTATTCATTTTATTCTTGCTTGCTTCTGTGTCATGTCAGTTTATCCCAGATCCGCGACAGTATCAGGCCAGCGTCTTAGTTGGCACTCGTGTAATAATACTTGGGGGCTATACCGGAAAGCCAGAATACACTAATGAAACCATTGTACTGGATTTGTCTAAATCATTCGACATTTCTCATCCCCCTTGGAGCATAAACACAAAAGGTGCAGCACCAGTTAACGCAGAATTTGGCACTGCATGTTTAAGTCCTGTTGACAATTCCACTATTTACATTATTGGTGGAGTAGCTTACAAAACATCGTTAGAATTTGTCAAACCATCACTGATTTACGTTTTTAATTCTGCTGGATCAAGTTGGACAACTCTGAATGCATCTGGGTTTGCACCCTTTGCAGATAATACGACTAACGTGTATAATGACATGCAGGCTATTATGCGTCATGATCTTATTTATATCTTTAGTGGAACAAATACATTAAGGCCAATCGAGAGTAATCTAACGACGAATAGTACTCTCCTTCAAACTTTAAACATACTTAATACAAAAACACAGGCCTGGATGATTTTTAATTTTTCCAATACCCCCTCACCACGTGAGGGATATACTGCAACTCTTTTAAAAAACGGTTATATCCTCTATATCGGAGGCACAGAAAAGTTTGGTGACGCGTCCAAAGAGACAAATGTTAATCTGAACAATATTCCTATTTTTGATACGGACGATTTAACTTGGACTTCAATGGTAAATTTAAATTAAATATATTTGGATATATTGTACATAGAAATGGAATTCATTTGGATTTGGAATTATTAATAAAATTAAAAATTTAAGGTAGTTCTAACCTTAAAGAATTCCAAATCTACTTAAATTCCATTCTCACATATAATAGAAATAAATGTCTTACTTCTGTTAATCATAACTTACCTAGACAGCCGTTGGAGATACGGTCGAGCCTCGTAATTCACATTCTGCAGTGTTAAGTAAATATTAAAATTTTTATTCGTCATACAATATTATATTTAGTTATTTATTAATTTTATTAACTTTTATTCATATCAAATTTATATCTTTTATTAGCTGAAGATGGAAAAATTATAATATATGGGGGACAATCTGGATATGGCTTTGTTAAAGTATCACCTAACCTTGCAATATTAGATACCAATTCTGTTCCGTATAAATGGACAATTTTAACAAACATTTCTACAGCAAATGAAGCACCAGCCATGGCTGGTCATTCATCTATATTATATAACCATTACATGATTATAATATTTGGACGAAAAACAACGAATCAACTAGAAATCGCTTACGTGCCTTCGCTCAACAATCAACTTTATATATTTGATACCAAAAAGTATGCTTGGGTTACGAATTTTACGCCTTCATCTGGACAGCGTACAACCAGTTGTATTATTGGAATTGTTTCTGCTATAATATCAGTTTTAGTTGCTAATTGGATTCTATTATCATAGAAATGTGAGACAGTTTTTCACTAAAAATTTAGCAAACATTCATTATTGATGTATGCAAATATACAAAGCGTAACAAAGAAAATATATACAAAAAACTCTTTATATTTTAGATCGTCTTGATCCTTTCATTTCTACAGAAGTCACAGATTAATCATGGAAATAGAAATTTTTATAATCCAACACTAAAAGTTAACATCGTTGATAAAATAGTACATAACCTAGAAATAGGATATAGGTGGAGAATTCTGATGTGATAATTAATGATATAAAAGTCCATAATCAAAAATATGGAATTTTTCTGTATTTTAATATTTTTTATAATAATACTCCTCATATAAAGCATCATATTACACAAACTAATCCTAGCATTATAAGATATCAAAATTCATTATAATAATAGTGCTAGTTTCTTTTTTTAGATAGTTTTACTTGTCATTTAAAATTATATTTCTAGTTAATCAACAAATATTGAAGTGAAATTGTATTTTCGATACTACTGCAGTAATTGCTCAACTAAATCGAAAAATAAAATTATTGTACTTTATAATTTACGATTCCGTATACACTAATATTTCTTTATTTATAACGTTAATAATTAAGGTCTTGGGAAAAAACAATTCTAGTTGCATACATTAGTGAGTCCGATTATGAATCATATGGATTCACAGTCGCTATTAAAAGCCTGAAATATGATAATAACCTTGAAATAATTGAAGAGGTACTATTAAATTATGCCTAAATTACTATCAAGATTGGATTATTTTTTGCATATAATGTATAGCTCAAAAATTTACAATGATTAGCTTTTATCTTAATATTATAATATTAAATTTACGATGTGTCTAAAAATAAGACATCTATACTTAAAGGCATTACTTTCATTAATTAGAACTAACGTTTATATAATGAATAGATTCATCTAATGTGTTTTAACATTTACAAAAGATGGGAATCTACATCAATATTTGAATGGACTATGGATGATATTATTCACGGTGACTAATTTATATTATTATTTAATTGATTTATACCTATAATGGCATTAATTTATATGAGCTTTATACCCCACGGCCCCTAATGTTCGCCCGTGAACATTTCTGAGGATATTTTTATGATGATGTAATGCTGTGAGAATATCAAGAATTATTCCATAACATTAAGTCATCATTAAAAATTTTAGCATTTAGTCATCATTAAAAATTTTAGCATTTAGTCATCATTAAAAATTTTAGCATTCTGAAATCTAGGGATGGTAAAAAAAAACCAATTTTCACCGTTTTAAAACATGTGATGTTTATGGTTTGAATATGCGGAGTCTAAATTTAAAAGTATTCGGATCATAATCATCCCATGGTTTAAAACGATGAAAAATGTTTTTTTACCATCCCTACTGAAATCTACGACAGGGTGGACAATTACTTGCCTGACCCTATCACGGCGGAATAAAAATTATCCCCGATTATACATACATACATACGTACTTAAAACATATTTTATATAAGCCTATATAATGTTTTTTAGTCGAAATACCTATTAAATCAAATATTTAGACTTTTGTGTCGAAATATATTTGACATGACATTATTTTTGTTGAAATGTCAAAATTCTAAATTTGACTAAATGTCTAAATTACTGACTTGCTAATAAATAAGTTTATATATATTTTTAATTTAGACATTTTGACATTATTTAGATTTTGATATAATTTGGCATTTCGGCAGACTAATTATCAAACGTCGAAATGTTTTTACAAGCTCAAAACAAATTCAGCCAACAACATTAAGCATATAATATTGATATGGGCTGATTTCTGAAACTTTTGTTCAATATTTAACCATTCTAACAAGCTCTATAGATCTGTGTTACTTCGGGTTGAATCGGATGGGTTAATTACACTAATTTTACCCGAAGTGACACAGTTTATTATTCACTATCAATCCCATATCGATATGACTAGTGGTGTTACCAAACTATTTGGGACGTTCCCAAACTATGTGATGAATAGCATCACACGATTTCAGCAATAACAATAAAGACCTCATGAGATATTATTCATCACATAATTTGGGACGTCCCAAATAGTTTGGGTAACATCACTAGATATGACATGCTTTGTGCCTACGTTTTCTGCCATGGTATTTTCATATGTCAATACGTAGGCAGTAAAACATGTAACATATTTTATTTCCATGAAAAGTGATTCATATCATTTCTCGGAATTACTTATTTTATTAATTGCATATTCTAAAAATATATATTATTATGTCATTAATTTCATTGGTTACATAGATATATACGTATTTACCATATATGTTTACCAATACGTGTATATGTAAATTTTTATATAAAAGTGAGCATTACTTGAACAATTATAAAAAAAAAATAAACCAAAAAATATCAGAGAATACATTTAGACAATCCAACCATTTAGACCAGCCATCAAAAGAAAAAAAGGCTTTAGAACAACGATACATTATCCAATTTTCTAAACAATTCCAAATCACTCTTCATATCAGTATGTTTACAACATTTGTAAAGTCATGTTTCATTGCTTATAAATCACGGAGCAAGGTAGGCCTTTATATTCATGCAACTTTTAAGATAAACAAATATTATCGTATTAAATTTAATTTTTCGCTGCTTTTTTTTTTTTTTTGAAAGGTTGAATACTGGAGTCATAAAACTCCAATCTCAGTTCATAAATCACCTACTTTAAATACGCTGGCCGTATCTAATTTAAGAATTTGAAAATTGAACATTTTAAACAATTATTATTTACTTTACCAAGGATCGAATTAATATCATAAAAAAAAAATAATAGATTTCATATCATAGAATAGAGAATCAATATTTAATCGGTTAAGGACAATAATTTCTAATTTTGTATTTCAACTCATCATATATCATTTTAAACATTCCAAGCACTTTAAACGAACAAACAAATCATAAATAAAAAACATCGCATAACGTAACAAGCATTAAATATTATAAAAATAACTTATTGTGGATTTAGCGGTCATAATATTATTTATCACTTTATATATTCTACGACCTCTAATGTTCGCCCGTGAACATTTTTGTTGATATTTTTATGATGATAAATGCCATGAAAATATGAGTGCCGCCAAGAGAAAACCCGTAAATTTTATCTAAAAGATTTACAAGTTTTCTCTTGGTGGCACTCATATCAAAAATTATCCGGCAAACTCATATGAATATAAAAAAATTTCGTTATTTTTTTCATAAATTGCCGGATAATACCATTATCAGGCAAATTTGCGAATACGTTAATTTGACAGTCAAATTACAAATTTTTGCCTATAATGTATACTTATTCCACGGGCATTACGTCATCATTAAAAATTATAATATGAGCGACGAAAAAGGAAAACCTGTAAATGATTTACAGGTTTTCCCTTTTCGTCACTCATCGCCTGACTAATATTAAATTTAAAAACTTATAAATTCAGAATTTGCCTATTGATATTAACTAACCAAATATTTTTAAATTTTAAAATTAAAACGTGCTAATTGTTCAATACATTCTTACCTAATGATATATAATATACTTTATACTTAATTCTACTTTTTTCGAATGAAGGTAACTAAAATAGCTGAATTATCCTTTCCTTCATATTATTTATTCGTGAACTCATATTTTCGCAACACTTTTGGTTGAACAGTCGCGACTAATATCATAAAGAAAAACATTCGTGAGATTTTATTTTTGTTACATTATACTGATCTTTGGATTTATCTAACACGGTTTGTATTGCTGACTAATATTTTGATAGTTTGAATTAGTAACTAAAAATGAAGTAATACCGGAAGTATCATTTTCTTCAATTTTTTTTAATTCCGTTTTATAAGTTTTTTTTTTTTAAGAAAAAAAAAAAATCTAAATTTGTATAGAAAGAATTTCTTTTATAAACTTTATTAAAAATTTTGGTTCTCTTTTAAGGGTAGGGGGCAGTATTTTAAAATTATATATAAACCTAATGGTAAATTTTTTTTATATTTAATTTTATGAAACATTATATTAAGTAGCCTAATTTTAATTATTATGTAAAAATTGTAGAATAGGTTTTTCTGATTCTAATGATAGTAAAATTATTAAAATAGGTTAAAAACTCATTAAGATATTAATTTTTAAAGATTAAGATATAAAATTATAAAATAAAATTAACTAATAGATTTATGTAAATTAACCAATCAAATTCTTTCTTTTTGTATTACCTAAGGAAATTTTAACCCATCTAAGTAAACTTTGTTATATATACAAGTATATTTTTTTAAAATAATACAATACATCAAAATTTTACTATAATAGATAAATAATTTTATTTATAATATTATAAAATTTTTTTATTAATTAATTAAAAAATAAAAAAGTTTTATTAATAGCATATATCAATAGAAGCTGATGTTTTCTAATGTTATTATTAATAGAAGTAACAGAAAAGAAGAAATAAATTTGTATGACTTGGTAAGTATCGATATATTTATAAGTTATTTTATTAATACAATCTAACAATAAAGCAATAAAAGCAAGTTAATAATATTAATAATTATAATAACTTTCAAAGTTAAAAAATATTGGTATTTTTATCTAACTTCGAAACTAATATAATTAATATGATCATTATCTATTAAGGTACTGCTAATACTTAAGTTTAATTAAACAAATAAAGAGTTACTTGAATTCGCATTAATTTGCTAATATGATAAAGATGATGAAGTATATAAATGTCTCAAACTGAAGTTACTAAAACATTATAGTTGTATACTTTTAGAAAGCATAGATAAAACTGTGCATATAGTCCCAAGATTTAACAAAAGTAATAAATATTTAACAAACAGTTTTATGTTCTAATTTAAAGTATATATTTAAAAATTTGGTTAATATAAAGTATTAAAATAATTAGTTAATTAATTTAAAGTATATATTATACAATATGTAAGATATATATTGAGTAATTTTTTTTTAAATATTAATAATA